TAACCTGTCCGTTAGCAATAATAAGAGAGGGAGAGAAAGAGAGAGAGAGAGAGATCTATCAATTATAAAGCCATGCTTTAACTGTTTAAATATTTCTAACTTTAGAGCCCTGTTCAGTGTTTGTTTGAATGCCCAAGATTTAGAAACTGTTACAAGGTGCCCGTCTCTTTTCCAACATTAATTTGAGGTGCCTTAATGCGTTCTCGACAATTTCTCTGGTGACATACCAACAGCACATCATTTTATAAAAATTCTCTTTAAGATTATACCATAGTGTAAATTTCAATCCTTTCAGCTGTATATTTTCCCATTGTTCCATCCGTATATTATAACCAAAAATTTTAGCCCACTTTATCATACGTTCTTTCACTTCTTCTTCTTCTGTTTCAAATTGCAATAAAAGCTTATACATTTTAGCAATTACATGCTCATCATTTGTACACAATGCTATTTCAAACTCAGTCTTACGATGTTCAAAATATAAATTCTTTTGTCTTCTTTAGATCTTTCTAATAATTGTAAATATGAGAACCGCTGACAACTATATCTCTCTGCCACCAGTTCTTCTCTTGATTTTGTTTTACCTTCGCCTTGACAGTATTCTAGCATCTCACGATAGGTTAGCCCTTTGTGTTTGGCTATTTTTTTTTGTCTATAAAATGTTTCTTTTGCCGAGAGGCCCAAAGGTGTTTTTGGGCAGAACCTGGGTTTGTATCTATTCCATACTCTCAATATGGCATGTCTAACATAATTATTTTTAAAATCCACATTAACCTTGACTTTATCATATCAAAAATATCCATGCCACCCAAATCTCAGGTCACGCCGTTCTAACTGCAAAAGCCTTCTATTTCTCAGCAACACCCACTTTCATCCAGACCAAACAGCAAGCTGCAAAATGCAAAATGCAATTTTAAATCAGGCAAACCCAATCCTCCTCTTTCCTCTTGTAACATCTTATATTTAACTCATGTTTTTTCCCCCTTCCAAACAAATTTAGATATATCCTTCTGCCACTGTTTAAATGTTGCATCAGTTGTCAAAGCAGACACTCTCTGAAACAAAACCATCATTCTAGGCAAGACATTCATTTTTAAAATAATTATTTTGAAATAACATACAATTTATATTTGTCATAGTGATACTCAAATATTTATTGTTATTTATATTTTGTTTATCATATTTATATTGCCTTCCATCTCACACAAAGTGACTCTGAGTAGCGTGCAACAGTTAAAAAGAATAAATACCTAAAAACCATTACAAATAAAAAAATATATAAAAGCCGGCAAAACAGCACAGAAAACAGGAGGGGATAAAGTTAATAAGGGAGCCATCACGAAATCTCCCCAGTCCCCTGGGAGTCCCAGGGCTGATCATATATCCAGGTCTTGAGGGACCTGGGGAATGTCAAGAGGGATGGAGCTAATCTCACTTCTGGGGGGAGAAGATTCCACAAGGCGGGCGCCTCAGCAGAGAAGGCCTGCCTTCTGGGATCCACCAAACGTAATTCTCTGGCAGATAAGATCCTCAGCATGCCTTCTCTACCAGACCTGATGGGACGGGCAGATGTGATCGGGGAGACGTGGTCCCTCAAGTAACCCAGCCCATGCCATGAAAGGCTTTAAAGATCAAAATCAGCACTGGCAACCAATTGCCAAAATCAGCAAACTGGCAACCAATTGCAGCTCATGGAGCAGAGGAGTAACATGTACCACCCTAAGGGCACACATAACTGCCTGCACTGCTGCATTTTGCACCAGCTGAAGTTTACAGATACTCTTCAAGGG